AGGAGAGCTCTGCTCCTGCAGGAGGTTAAAGCTGTTACTGGTGATCAGGGAGCACTGGAGATGCTGTCACGTGGTTCGTGCAGGCTGCATGTGGAGAAATCAGCTGTTAAATCACTGCACGGTGGCGGGTTCAGGTGTCACCAGGCGGGTTTTTTAAAGGACACTTTAGTGGGTTTAATGCAGACTCGTCTGTTTCACATGCTTCTGTTTTCCTTTACCTTGCAGTTGGTTCCCACAATCAATTCATGATGCAAATAAAGAGGTAAAAATGAGCAACACACCTTTGGTGGCTCGGACAGGGAAACATTAGTTATTAATGTTAAACAGACAGTGATGTCTTAATTGATGTGAATGAATTTGTGTGGACACTGTAGACCAATGTAATACAGGCTTAGTGCGATACTGCGCCTTGTTTTTGTGGATATTGTTGAGTTATAAACAGATCGAATGAGCCTCCGGGTCCTGGTTTTGTGTCTGGACTTTGGTCTCTGGGGTGTTTAGTTGATCCAGGTGTTAGAGTATAGATCAAGTGTATTAAATAAAACTGTTCTTAGACCTGAAGCTGGTCTGATGAGATCTCGATTTTTTATATTTTCCAAATAAAAGCCGCTCCACAGTCTCAGTAGTAATCTAGTCCAGGAGGTCTCAGAGGAGTATTGTTTAGGTCCTGAACCGGGTCTGGAGTTTCCTGTCACGTTTCTTCTGAATCCAGGTTCCTCGGTGGGAGTGGGTTTCTAGCTGCTCAGCAGTGCCGCTGTTCTGAGAAATCGTCCCACACGTATCATAATTTGACGGCGACTTTTGACTAATCCAAACCATAACCATAAGAAATATTCACAATGGGTTAAAAATTATGTAAATTTGGGAGTTGTGTTACGCGAATGCGCAGAAACAACGGGTAGGATGATTTGTGAGGTAGGATAGATTCCCAGTCCCCCCCCCACACACACACTCTCCTCGTGCCTATGGTACGACAACTTTTCTCTGTGCCCCTGGTACACTGCGCAGAAAATCCTTGCCCCCTCCCTCACACACACACATCTTCTTTGTTGTATTTCTGGTTTTCACGAGGCTGCCACAAACAATTATTTTTGCGATTAGTCGACTGATCAGATCATGCATCCATTGGACATAAAACTTACAGCTTCATGCACCAGCATGTCTGTGCTTATATAACTATCATTAGCTTACAGCTTGAAGTGTTTAAGGTATGTGCTGACTAAAAATAAAGACAAGATGATGGGTTGTTAAACTTTTAATGAAATTTGCAGATTGTCTCAATGAAGTTAAATAAACTCAGCCGTCTGCTTCTTGCTGTCTAAAATATAACAGGACACTGGAGTAAATTCGACCACCTCACACTTCTGTTTAATCAGTTTTCTGTGTGATGTTTATTCAGCTGTGTGAAAATTATAACTTTAATCTCAGCTAAACCGATTTACTCAGGAACTAATAAAAGACTGAAAAAAGCCAAA